ACACCTTATTGAGAGAGGTTACCCAGAGAATCTTATTCAAGCAACCCTCTCTGAAGTGAACTTTGAAGAGAGGAAACTAGCCCTCCAACCAAAACAGAGGGAAAACAAACGAATCTTGCCTTTTGTCACACAATATCAACCATCAGTGCCAAACTTAAAACAAATCCTAATGAAAAAATGGCATTTAATAGAACAACAACCATTACTGAGCGAAATCTACAAGGATCCGCCTCTCGTTTCATACAAAAGAGGGCGTCCGCTCAAAGATATACTTGTGAGAGCCAAACTATAAAAGGCTAAAACACGCGCTTGAGAGTCGTGCAGGCCTGTCAATCCCATTTTACACTCCGAAAATTCTAGGGAAACTTTATGGTTTTCCGAAAAAATTTGAAAAGTCTAGAGCGTCGCTGGGAAAAAAATTTCGAAATTTTTAGGCAACCTTCCATCCGAACAGATATTTTACCGAAATATTCCGTTGGGTGCCCTTGGAAAGTGCCACTTATTATATCGTCAAAATGAAAACATAAAGGCATTAAAGATTAAATTAAAGATTAGACGCAAATGAAAGGAGATACGACGAAAATAAAAAACTTCAAAACATTGTTGCACCGTTGAATACTGTTGTCGACTGAATTGTAAAATTTAGAGGAACATTGACTTTACCGCATTGTTTAATTATGTTGCATCCCTACTAAAAAGTATCGGTAACAGAAAACACATTTTTTTTTCTGAAAATGGTCTTTGTTCGTCGATTACTCCGTCAAATTACACCTATTTATAGCACACCAAATCCCATTTTTGATGAAAAAACCTTTTGTCCTCTAAAAGCTACTGACAACTGAAATTGATCTCCTTTTTAGCTTTCATCAAAAGCGCGGAAATGCCGACCATTTTCGACTTAGATTTCTTTAAAATTTGAAGTGATGTCTCCGTTTTGAACAAATGCGTTTCAAGTTTCGTTTTCAGGCTTAACATATTATGAGACATGAATATAGTTCCAATCAAAATCGGTTTCTATTTTGTTTACATCCTTCATCGCGGTAATGGTTCTTCGATAAAATCGAAGGAAATTACTTTTCACTCTAATTTAATTTGCGTTTGAGAAAATTGGCGGCTAAATGTACAACTTTGAAAATGCTTTAAAAAGATCTAAAACTTAAAACTTTACAAAAGTGTATGTAAAATAACACTCTGCCTAGGCTACTCCAATGTCTAATATACCGGGGTTTTTTTTATGTTTTTTTTTTTTATTTTTATTATTTTTTTATTTCTTACTGCCTAATCACTGGGGTATTTTGTACGACGTTTTGTTTCTTCTCTAATCCTTGGGAAAATATGAAATATATATGTACAGAAAATTAAAAAAATCTTCAATCATATAGAGAGTCAATCAAAGAAGTAGACTGAAGTAGTTAATTTATTTTATTTACCCTTATTTTTACTGCCTGTCATTTCATGAAATTGTTCGCTAACCGCTTACCCATTAGCTCCTATTGTCAAGTTAACTTCCTGTTGCATTGAGCTTTACATGCACAACCACGATATTCTAAAAAAATTAACTGTACACAAATCTAAAACTGATTCCTCCAATCAAATCCTCTGAGCACTGAAGCCTAGTTTCTATGCCGATGGCCAATTTATCAAGTCAAAAGTCGAATTTTGTCCACGTCTTTTATTTTAATTTAATTCTTATTGGTTAAAGCAACTTCCAGGTAAAACACTGCAAAGAAACAAGGAGGGGATAGCAAAATTTCTTATTCCTGTGGATATGCTAGTTATAATATATTCAATCAGTAGTGTGAATCTTGTATTTTTCCTATGGCTTAAAGCGATTATTTCAATTAAATTCCACCTTATGGCGCCGAATAAGGGCGCAAATATGACGCATCGTGATTTTAATTTAAAATTATCTGTAGCAAACAGGAAATGACGTCAAACTGAACAGAAGAACAATCTTTAACTGGTGATGGATATATTTAAGTTTCACAATTAAGCAAAGGAAGATTCAGCTGCATATCGCAGTATTAGTATTGAGAATGTTGAAGTGATGTATTTAGTTTGATTTCTCTGGGCACTTCAGGCGCAATTTACAATATTCCGAAGTGTTTTCCCTTCATAGCAGAACTTTCATGTGGGGAATTACACTAAAAAAGCGACTTCACTTGGATGCCAATTGAAAACTCAGCCAGTGGTCGCCTTTTTTATTGTACGGTAAGTACATTGCTGTATGTTGTTGAATAATAAATAAAAATGGTGTTTTAGCCTCATACAGAGAAAGCAATTTACATTAATGGTTTCTTCATAATGAGAAAGTGTAATGAAATTTACAGATGCAGGTTTTTGTTCTTCGAAATGTTTTTTCTTTGTTGAGCAAATTCTCCATAAATGTTAACGACAACAATTGCAGTAGTAGGAGATTAAGAAAACTCCTGCACTCAAGAATAAATATTTAATAATCATTTGCCCCCATGTAGAACTTATTTTTAAGGTACAAGCTTCCTACATGGTACAACTGTACCTGGATTGTTTTGCAGTCTAAATGATAAACTGCTAACAGCACACAGCCATAACCATTGACTGGTTTAAAAACTTTACAATGTTTTTCTGCACAAAAGATTCACAGTAAGAGCTTTTAGGTTATTTATGTTGAACTTTACTGCAAGCCATGTGTCAATGATGATTTCACTCTTTTTCTCGGATTTGCATATGTCGTTTCGACTTATTAAGTTCCTGTTTTCTCCTGTTCATGGCCTCAGGAAAAAGAAATCTCACATATTTATTGAAGTTATACTCGGGCCTAACATAAGTCACAAAGCAATAAACGGAAAGATATTATCACTTAATAACGTAATGTGCCTACTTTCTCCTAAAACGCCCCCCTGGTGTGGAAAGCGTTTAGCTCGGTTTTTCTCTTATCGACGAAGATCTAACAGGAAATACTATCGTATGAAAGGTCTATTCTGTTTTTTATATATATAGAAAAAAGAAATCGCCGAGCATATATATGAAGTGGCCGTTTTCAAAATATCATGAGGCAGCAATTAAGTGCTTTCAAGTTCTTCACATTTAGCTCCTTCCGGTTATAAATCTGGCAGACTGCAAATTTTAAACATAATTGTTCTTTTTCCTTTGATTTTCACTCTAATTTGTCTTCAATATAACTGAATTTTTTAGCTTCCTGAGCTACCCAATCGGTATATCCTACAAAAAGACAAAAGGTATAATAAGGCCGTGGTAAAAGAACAAGAAGGACCTCTTTTAATTAAGCCGCTGCGGATTTTTGAGAGTTTTAACTTAAAAACATCAATTTCCTTTGCAAATTATTATTCACAAAATTAAGATATTTATGTCGCTCCTGAACGTATATACTCGTTAAGTGATCGAAAGCCCTAAAGATAAGATATAACTATGAAACAGTCAAAAGGCAATCTTTTCATTACAAGAAATACGGCTTATGCAAAATAAATCGGTAGAACTTAATTTAATAACTTAACCAATTTTATAATTTCTTAGGCTCGATTAAGAAATTCTATATAGCTTAGCTTTATCCGTTATCTTACGAACTCTTAAGCTGAATTATTAGAAACTGGATCATTGGATAATGCAATTCGAGAGTTTTCATTGGCTTAGCCATCATGGGTTATGAGCCATTATACCATGCTCTACAAATATGGTAAGCGTACGTGCGCGTGATTTTATAGCGTTTTTATTTCTATTTCAGTTTAATGAAACAATTATTCCAGATTATAGCCAACTCGGCGCTCCCCGCCTCGTTGACTATCTACCATCTCATATCCAACGCGCGCTCGTGGAATAATTGTTCAATACTTAGCTCTTATTAACCGAGCNTTTGAGCTTTCTAAAATCTTGTTTAAAATTAGCACAAATTACCCTTTCAGTCCTAGTTTCAGCTTTTGTAGTAATAGAAACGTATTTTGATATTAAAAGAATCACTCCAAAATAAGTAGCATTTTGTCAATTTTACCCCGGTTTTTTTTAATAAACATCACATATTGTGGGCGCGTTGTTTCTTTTTGATTATTAATTTGATAAGCCTTCTAATCTAGCTTTATCTTTTCAATTCATGTTCAAAGGTGCTTACGTTATAATCTTCTAAGTTATCAATTAGAGCCTTTCCTTTGTAATGCAAACATTTCGTGAAAGGCAATTTCCTTCAATTTTTTTCAAACATTATTACAGCCCCAAGTTAATGTAAACACGAAAAAAAGGGGGCTAAAGACATTGAATTTCCAGCAATTTGCATGTTCGGTATTTTCTGTTTGTTCTTATATGCTTGAAATAAAACAGGAAAATTGTGAAAATTCATGTGAAACTTTCCCTGACAAAGACTTAAAGGTGGCTTATCAATGATCACTCATTGCTTAAATTGAGCTTCATCTAATCCTTACGCGGCTCTTTTCGTTTGTTTTATTCCATTTGACTGACTGTACCCCGTCAGTTTTTTCACCTGCTTTGAAAATTGACACAATTTTCGCCTTGAGCTTTCATTGGGTGGCTTAATTTTACTAAATCTAAGTAGAATCGCCCGCCTGAATAATAATAAAACACAATACGCGGTTTATTGCACAGTGTGCGAGTAAATAACCTCAAGAAACTTAGCTAAAAAGGTAGGAGAGGTTTCTTCCACCTAAGGTCCTAGGCTATAAAAAGCTAATTTTCTTTTAAAGCGAAATATGCTGAACTTGGTGTGTGTAGTTGTCTATAATGTGTTTACATTTTAAAATAACACGTGAGTGACAAAGCACCTCTGCAGTCGAGCATCGTCTCTGTAGAACATTATTTTGCATTGATTTTACTTAACTAACACAATTCGAATTTGAAATTGAACGAACTTATTAGATTCTGATGCTTATTCTTATTCTGCTGACTGGTATTATAGTATCCCTTTTATTACATGCTGGAGACTGAGGCATAAAAACATCTTATCCCAGTTTAGCTCAAGAGCCTGTTGTTCATGGCGCGACTAAACTCATTTACTCGGGTACTTGAGACTAAGCTTTTAACTTTACTTTTAACTCGAAAGCCTCAAAGTTGTTAGTGACCGTCGTTTGTTTAAAAATACAGTCAAAATAGCATGTTTAGGTCATGATAACGAACTTGTGAAAGCTAGAGACCGTGAGAAAATCTGCAACACGATTTAGCCAATCACAGCACACGTTTTGCTATTCCGAAGGCGATTAGACTGTTTCTCGACCTAAACAAACACAAATAGAAGATTGGAATTGAACTGATCCGAATTCTGCGTCTTTTTTCCTTAATTTTTGCTATTTGAAATGAAATGTCTTTTTTTTGCTGTTGTTGTTGTTTTTTGTCTTTAAAAAAAGGTTAGAAGTTTTCTCAAGGAATAATTGAAGTTTTGTTGTTGTTGTTGTTGTTGTTGTTTTGTTCATCTACATTTTTGGCCCTGCAATATGTTGTACATATGTAGATATAAAAGCTAGCACTTTACTAAAGGGGGTATCCCTGGTATGGCGAAGAGGTGCTTTTGGTCTCCTCAATCTCCTGCTTTGTAATTTTATTTAATCACAGTTTTTGTACGTAACATGGAGTAAGTGTAATAAATCATTCAAATCACATTCTTTGCCAAAATTTTGAGTTTTTCAACCCGCGCGACACAAAGCAAAAATCGTGTGATAAATCGGTCTTCAATTCCAAGGCAGATAATGTCATGCTATTTTGATATTCAGAGTTGATATTTTTGTAGCTCGATCAAAGACTCGAGCGCTTTCCCTAATATGCAAATATTGTAAACAAAGATTCCCTCTGAACTGAACCCGTCATATGTGCTCTTTTTATATTTATAGGCCTCTAGTGCACTTAAAGTCACGCAATGTCTGATCGTGTCACGCTCTCATTACCTACAACCAATGTTCAAACACGCGCCTTCCGAAGTCATTCCTTCAATCCCCCTCCAACTATTGCATCTCATCGCTCCAGACGAACTCTCAGTCTTCCGGCCCGAGAGAAACCGATAATTCCACCAGCTATTGCGGAAACTTCCGAATGTTTTCGAATAGTTCACGACCAATTTTCCAGCGAGCAGCAACCTTGTTTGAGTGGAAATTGTGACGAAATTGGTAAGTTGCGCGCACAAGTTACGTGTAAATAAGCACCATACTGCATAATTGCACTTTTGCCGGTTTCTCTAACATGAAACAACTATGAGAAAACTGTTACCCCCCACCAAAAGCACTGTCAGGTTTCTGTTTACAGTTTGCAGTTACTTGGTTATACACTTGGGTGGAGAGAGGTACTGTAAGAGGCAAGTGTCTAGCCCAAGATCAAGACCACTACACAATGACCCCGACCAGAACTTGAGCCCAGACCATCTAAACCAGAGACCAACGCACTGTTAACCATTGTTAGACCACCGCGAATCCACAAGAATGAAAACGAGTGTGTCCGTGATAAACAGAAGCGTTCCCACAAGGCTATCAACCAATTCTAACTCAATTTGATCCAGAATTGTCCCGAAATATCACAAACTGTATGGCGGACTCCGCCATTTGTCTATCAGTCGAGGAAGGCTTGTATCCATTCTTGTCCCCAAAGCCACAGCTTGTTTGTACGAGAATGAGCTGGTATCGAAATTCTAGTTTATTCTGCCCTTCCGTGCGTCATTATGCTCATGATGTGATATCCTCACTCGCTTATTCTTGTACTTATGCTTGTGCTAATGCGAAAGCTAGGACCAGCCTTAAGTAAATAACATCCCGTGGGAGACATCAAAAGTTTGGGGATGCCCAGCGTCTCGCTTCGGGGTATAAATCAAGGATTCTGGTCTCACTTAGGGTGTTCATGACGAAAGGCCACTATATTTGGCTGTCAAAGAATCTTTTAGGGTGAACTGGAACAACTTGATAATAATAAAAGAAACGCTCTTAGTTCCATTTTTTGGTTCGATACCTGCCAGTCTCCTGAGTCCGGTCTACAAGCACAGGCTCCTCTCTTGAACAGCGGCTGATAATCAAGCCTGTTCCTTTTTAAGTAGTATCGGCAGATTAATCTCGTGGTAGTATCTTCTAGGGGTCAAATAAAGCTCGAGCTACGCCGATTGGTCTCCTTTAGGGGTTTGTTTCAAATTTCCTACGAGCATCCCCGACCTTTTCATATGGGCCGTCCCCCCCGCCCCCCCAATCGAGAATAACATACGAGTGGCAACTTTTCATTACTCAGCTTTATCGGTGTTTCTCTTTTCATTTTTTCAGGTTGGTTTTCTCCTATCGTTGGATTTTTATTGAGTCTTCTGCTGTTTGTATGGGCATGCCTGCTCTCTCTGACTGTGAACAAACAAGATGTACTATTGTAAGAACGCAAAACTGGCATAATTTGATTTCACCTAACACCGTCAGCTCATGAATATTGCATTTCGCTAATACTTGCATTTCTATGTAACGGATATTTTACATAGAGCATAGCGCGGGGAAGGGTGTGGGTGTGGGGTACTCCCTTATCTGTTTAGCCGTTTTGGTCTCAAATAGGGTATGCTTTTCTTGCACTTTAGTCTTGAATTGGGTATGTTTTTTGGAAGAAGATACTTTTTTCAGTAACAGGCAGGTCTGAAACAAGGTACTGATTTAAGGGTCAGGTCTCAAATAGGGTATCGAAATTAATAGGGTATCGAATCAGTTTTGGTCAGGTCATAAATAGGGTAGGGAAAATCACAAATTTTGGTCTTAAAGGGAAGCGGGCCGTACACCCCTCCCCCATTTTTTTTTCTGGGAGAACCCCCCTCTGGGCCCAATATGCGCTGGGATGTGCTGCTGTTTCGTTTCTGAGCGAAATGCACTGACCCCTCGTTGTCTGTTTCTTTAAACCTTTCTGTTTCCCAAACAATTCATCAATTGAATATCTTCCGCTCTATTTGACTGTTTGAGGAAAATAACACCAATACAAATAATAATCAGTTGGACGTTCAACTTCAACAAGAAAAATATAGCATAACTGTACCTTACTTCAAAGACAAAGTGATGTAAGAGGCGGAAAATTGTATTATTATATAAACCGACTCACGCTCCGTCCACACTGCGCCGGAGGAATTTGAAATCGGAGGTTTCACTCTGAAAACGCATCAAAGGTTTTCCGTCCACACTACGCTGGAGAAATTTAACAACGCAACAATCACCGGTCATTTTGGATTTGTGTTTGAGGGAAACTCGGTCAGGAAAATCTCATTATCATCGTAACGCCATCGTTTTCGAAAAGCTCCGTTTTCAAAATGTTTTCGGTCCACACGAAAACGCAAAGCCGGCGTTTTCAAATTCCTCCCGTTTAAAGAAGGCTTTCGAAAAGATCCCGACGTTTTCGTGACGGATTAGTGTGGACGGTAGGCCTAACCGTAGAAATAAAGCTGCGATTTCAAATTTCTCCGGCACAGTGTGGATGCTGCCTTAGTTAGAAGTCACCCCGTGATAGTGAGTAGTGTAGAACACTGCAGTGGAAAATCTTCCACCAATAAATTCTTGGTTGTCTGTGCATGGCATTTACAGTTTATTGCTATTCTTCAGTGAAAATGCTTAATAAAACAGAAATAACTTTAAAGACATTTAAACAAAGACTTGCTATGAACTATTTTTTTTTTCACAAGCGTATGACAATTCTTTTATTGTATAAAAATGAAACAGCTTGTTTATCTCCTTTTATGCCGATTAGCTGTGATATAGAGATATATTGATATAGAGAGTATTGAAACTTGTATGACCTGGCTGTTTGTTAAAACTCCACTGATTGCCAGGACCAAAGATGTCAGCTTGGGATCACTAAACTAGCAATATAACTGAGAGCGTTTTGCCAATATATACATGTTAATTTCAGCTCTTAAATGAGTAATTTCTTGTGGTGGTTAATTTTCAAGGAAAGAGACGTAATCTGTCAGCAACGCAAGTTCTTGTTCACTTGTAAGAGGAATTTCTTTGGTTGGAAGTTCTACAAAAACAAACACACACAAAAAAGGGCGCTTTGTTAAAACTGCGCTATTTATGATAATAACTTAATATAGAATGTTCCTTGCCACTTATGACATCAATGCTATTGATGTTAGGTACGGACCATTATTTTTTTGACGGGTTGGGGGGGAGGGGTTAGGCAAAACTGCTGAAAAAAGCCATGGGGAAATAATTAAGCAAATGTTTTTTACTATCATTATTCTGACTTTTAATGTTAAAATATTCTTGCACAAGCTATTGCCCACCACAAAAGAATCATGCACAGCCTGAAGGTGAGAAAAAAATTTCATACCCAGAAAATTGCCAACCCGAACTCCACCCCCCTGCCACCCCCTTCTCAAGAAAAATACTTTATCCATCCCTTAGCCTTTGTGGCAATGTGGTTTTGCACGTGATGTTCGGTGGAAGAATTACACGTTAATTACTGGTCTGAATTACATTGAATCCTGAAATGGCATGACAGTCCCTTGCCAATCTCTTTCATTTTCTGCTCTTTCAGATCCTCTTCGGTGCAGCACATTTTGACCAATGAACTTACACATAAATACTTACTGCTTTGTAGACTTTGCAACCAATTGCTCAAGTTGTCACGTAACTATAAAAGATCTCTTTCTCTTTCAATGTTATCACCCACAGTTTAGATGTCTATACATGTACGTACATGTACCAAATTTATTTCATGTGTTCATACACTTATGTAAACCACTTCAGTCTGTAAACTAGCTAGTTTAGCTGTGAGCGAATATAAACTTAACATCCTCCCTCAGGAAATGATTTGGATCTTAGCTCCCTAAAACCCCCTTTCCTGGGTTTCTGAGCCATTCTGAAAAATCTGACTGCTTTCCGTTGATTTCCAGTTCGTACTGTGCACTCTCGAGAGTTTGTTTACAATTTTTGTTTTCCATCATGTAAGATGTCACAAAATGTACATGTAGCATTTGGCAATGAATTACACAAGGTAAATTTAAATTTTCATGTCAAATGCCATACTTATGGATGTAAAGCTTTTTATGCTAAATTCTTTCTAGTAATATCAGAAAGAGTGAAGCATAAAAAAGCTTTGCATCCATGATGGCATTTGACATTGGGGTTCTGAGGCTGTGCAGTACGGACTGGAAATCATATTTAACACCCTGCATACAAGTTTGTACCTGTCTTTTTGGGAGTAATCATTCCTGTTGCTGGGTCACTGGTCCATCCACTAGAAACAGCAGCTGAATATTGACAAACAATAACACTTTTTATTACATGAATTAAGTTGGTTCACAGGACCAATAACTAAACAGACTATGAGTAGTCCCTCTTTTGATTCAGTCCGACGATCTTGACTGTAAATAAAGTGTGAGGAACAAATGGCAGCCCAAAATCCTGGGAGCACGAAGTGGGTGGAAAGCAGGTAGACTAACAATTAAAATTAACCTGGAATTAGATTATTCTGTTGCTGGTCCAATATTTCCCAAGTATTGGATGGTTTGCATTAATTTTTGATTAGTTATAGCAATGGCAGGTTTATAATATGTTTTGTTATTGGCATTGCTTGTTAATTTAAACTGATAATTTTATTTATTTTTTCCAGCAGAGGGGGATAAGGGCAGGGGATTTCATTGGTTGTAGAATATAAACAACAAGTTTAAAACATTATTGCTGATATTTGTTTACTATTGTATGATATTATGTTGTTATCATTTTGCATGAGATGACAAAGTTTCCCCATAGGATACATCATTGCAACCATTGCAGTGAATGAGATAAAGCCAACTACAACAAATTAAAATAGAAAAGTTTTGCCAAGAAGGTTGGGTTGTTATCTCTAGAGGAATCAGGGCTGTATGCAGTGGTATGTAAATTATTTTATGTACAGCATAGGGGTGCTGAATGGTAAATGTGACACTTTGCAAGAAGGTGAGACTAGCATTTTTCTTTGTGAGCCCAACACATTTTGACTTGTTAAAATTAATTGCAAGACCAAGACTTCAAAGTATTTCAAATGAAAGCACAAGACATTCAGACTGTAAGACCTTCAGATGTTATTTATCATTTAAACAAACAAATAAATCAGGACTTTAAGATATAGATAATCCTTATTTAAACATGGTTAAAAATTTGTCAGTTAAAACTACTAATAACTAATAGTAAAAAAGCTGCTTTCCATGAATGCCCTGCCTTATAGCTATAGCTAAAGCTATTTTAATACAGTTTGTGCATGGCAATGGAACATTTACTTTATTTTTGGAGTCCCTTAGATTATATGCGGTTTCTCGCCTCTCGAATTTAGAACTAAGATATAGATCATTTTCACGTGATGTCATCACTTTCTAAAATCCAAAACGAAAGAGCCACCAAAGTTTTTGTCCTCATCAGGCACAAGAGGCGGTATATTTATATCTGTTTACAANTTTACAGCTCAATAGTGTGCTTCGTTTGGAATCCAGAGCATTTTGAATTTCAGGGTTATGGAGGTGCGTGACACAAGGCTATGATCGAGTTTGTTGAAAGATATATACTTACATGTATCCCATGATTTTGAGCCTTTTTAGAAGTTAAAGCATTAGGAAAAGTGCTTATCTAAATGCTTGTTTCATCAGTACTGATACTCAGTCGCCTAGATAACCAAAGTAAGTTCCAGATGTTTACACTATTTTCCGGCCGCCATGTTGGTGTACCATGGAGGTACACCGACATGGCGTTTTCATACTGGGCTCTGTAAATATCGGCAAAACATTTCGACGAATATCTGAAGTTTGGGGAAACGCACAGGCCTAAAACTTGGAGAAGTGGCTTATTTAGTTATCTTCTATAACATCATAATTTCATAGCTTTTGCCACTGGATGGTTTTCGATTTATTTTTTTATTGCGTGACGGTGAAAATGATCTATTCTGGAGCCAACCTGTGCAAAGACTTTGAGACTTTCTTAGCCTTGCAAAAAAATCAAGACTGCGAGACACACATAACCACTGCAAAACCAGAGAGCATTAGACCTATGACATTGGACAAAAAAAAATTGCAAGACTCATGGTTTTTTGAAGGACTCAGATTTGCCATCCCTAGCATACTCTACTCACCACTAACAGCAGCTTCTGTTTTTACACCCATAAGTCTAGCCAGATCTTCTGCTCTGATTGAAGTGTATGCATTGGAAACAAGATCAAAAGCTCTCTTCTGAAGTTTTTCTGGATGGACATAAAACAAAAGAAAGAGAATGTCAAAGAGACTAAATGGTGTTAGTTGTATAGAATGCAGTCTTGGGATGGTTGAGCAAGGCTGTCGAAGGCTGAAAGGTACCACCCTTATTTGTTTCCCATCCATCATGCAAACTCTTACAGGAGAACATGAATTTTCTTCTTACTGTTAAGTATCAGTTATATTTTTATATTTCAACCAATATAAAATTAAAAAATTGCTGTATTCTGATTGGCCACATACATGAACATGTTAGACATTTTCCAAGTTTTAAATGACTCTGTTACATAATATCATACAGAGCTTCCATTAAGGGCCAGGCACCAGGCAAATTGACCAGCTACAATGATGATTTTAGCTACATGTACTGTTAGACTATTTAGAGGGAAGTTTTTCCTATAACGAAGTTCGGTTCAAAAGGTTTTGCCAGCCTGTGAAAACCATGGGCTCCAGGCCTCTGGAGCCCAAAGCACAACCCATGTTTTATTGGTTTTCTTCTGTAAAAGAACATGAACACACGCCTAATTGATTGATGCTTGTCTTGTATCCTGCTTTCTGTGGTCGTCAAAAGTGTCGTCAGCTCATTCATATTTGTACACTCTAGTCTGTCCCCAATGGACACCACCCCCCCTGCCCACCGTGCTGTCAGAATTCCAATCATAAGTACCCCCATGCCCTTGAATTTCCAGTTAAAAGAAGCCCCCTTGCCCTCAGAATTACATATTAAATGCCATCTGTGGTTTTACTCCTGATTAGCTGACCTAGTGGTGTGTGTTTCTTCAGCCAATCATTTAGCACCATAATTTAAAACCAATTGAAAGCAAATATCAATTACTTGCAACACTCAAGTGAAAACCGCTCTTAATACTTTAACTCTACCAGCTAGCATTTGCAGGGTGCAACAAAAAGGCTGTCCGATAGCCCAGGACTAGTGAAATGATCAGTCAGGCTAGCACTGTCTCATCACAGGTTGCCCGACGGCCAAGCATGAAGTGGGCATGAGTGAAACACTGTTGCTTGTTTTTGTTTTTTTTGTTTCGTTTTTTTTGTTGTTTGTTTGTTTTGTTTGTTCCTAATGGCAAACTTGACACGTTGTGTTTAACAGACAGTTCATGAGAGGAAGTGAAACAATAGAAATGTTTTTTCTAAGATAGAGTAAAATGTAAAATTTAAGCGACTGAAGTCATTTTTTTTCCCTGTAACAAGGTTATCACATAGTATTGTCATCATTATCCCAGTCCTGTAGTTAATAGTTTGCTCCAGTACATTGTAAGCATATGCCTTGAAGTATACGTAACCATGGATAGCAAGGAGCGCTGGAGCGGTAGCCAAGATTTCATTTGGTTATTTATAGTACGACTGAACAAATTGTGTTTCACGTGCATGAAACATGTGATAAATTAAAAACATTAATATCATTTACAAACTACAAAATAAAACAAAGCGTATGACTTTAATTATTGACGCATTCTTTTCCTGAAAGAAAAATTTCAGCGATATTTGGCAAGCAGCTGTTTTAAAAGACATGTTGCGTGACAGCTTTCTTTCCCGCTATAACTATGTGTGTAAAGTAATTCGATATGTTATTTGACTGGGTTTTCTAAAGGAGCTTAAATTTTCAGTATTCTTAGATTCTTGTTTGAAAACTTCGTTGAATGACGAAAAAGTCAGCTGCTATGCCAGTTGGGAGTGAAGCAGTTCTAATGAGTCAGTTGTTAGTTCAAACGCATTGTTAGCATGACATGAATTGACATCTAGAATTTTCCACAGTCATTTTTTGGAAAATTAAATCTCAGAGCCTTAATCTTTCACTACCCAGCAGCTTTAATCCCTACCTAGTAAATGTCTCCATAAATAATGTACAATAAAATAGCTTAAGTCATGTCACCGAATCAAGGTTTACAATTGTGTGTGAAAAAATATGCTGCCTTGCGTCTTCATCTACAATATGAGCATGAATAGCTGTGGCTAAATTTTATAACAGTACCTCAGAGATTAAAACGAATGACTTAAGCCTTGTTATTTATGGATATGAAATTTCCAAGGGGTTGGGGGACCCAAGTAAAAAAGTCATGGAAATTCCAGGGGATGGGGGAGTACCGTGAAGCCCCCTGGAATGGAAATCCTGAGGGATGGGGGTCAAACTGGATATGAACCCTCCCTGAGGGTATGGATTTTTTCTGGAACCACACATAAAGTGCTCTAAATGTTTTATTGTATAGGGTTTAATTCAAAAGGGAAATCAAAGAGAAGTAGTTCATCTAAGCTCTGTATTATTAATTAACATTATTTTTGCACATTAAATTGATTTAATTATCCTTATTAATAAAATAATTTCGGGCTAACTCCTCAGAGAGTTGGGCTAGTAAGATGAAATTACAGCTTGCCCGAAGGGCAAGCAGAGTTTTTGAATTTCATCTCACCCTGATTTGAATATAATGTAGTAAAGAGAACTGATATTTAAGCTTGGGACTAAAAGGGTAAATTATATGTCACCTTGTAAAGCTGTGATGATTGGTTTGATAGTTGGTGACCAGTCTTGTTTTAATGAATCATAAATTCCAACAAAATCTCTTTTCCACATGTGGCATCCTATATTCCACAGTTTAGCTAACTCTGGAGTTGACTTGAAAAATAAACAAATATACAAATAAATAACGACATAGCCAACACAAGTAAGGCCCCATACCCACTAGGTAAGTTTGTTTTTATTTTGTACAAAAAATTTGTCATCAGTTCCATGATGTGACTCACAGTAATTTTTTTCCCTACCAAATTTATTTTGTCAACCCTTACCAAAGTTAAAAGGTGCCTGCATCCTGCTTAGGAGCAGGACAAATTTTGTCAGGCATGAAAAGTGACACATTTTTCAATTTATGTGCCATGATCTGAAGGAAAACGTCAATCAAGTACACTGATCTTGCTTTGATCTTTGATCTCGCCATGTGATTGACACTTTGCGGTCAACGAATATTTTACTGCTTTTGAGTGCGCCCATGATTACTAAATTGAAAATTTGACAGAGACAATATTTGTTGAGATTTTTGGTAAAGCCAAACAAAGTTTATCACCCTAGCGCATACGGGACCTAAGTAAAAATGAGCAAATTAAGATTCAACTTATTTATATATACAAAATGTATCGACAATAATCCCTGTGTTTTGTTTTTTTGTTTGTTTGTTTGTTTGTTTGTTTGTTTGTTTGCAACAATCCTTGAGTTACTGTAATTAAAATAGGGTAACCCGAAAACACTGATCCCCGGTCTGCGGACTACCCCACGGATCGGTCCATGGACTACCCCTACGGACCCCCGTTTATGGACCACCCTAAAATAGTGTAAAAATAAATAAAGATTTCACTTATGGGTTGTCTAGTAGATTCAAACTCATGTCGGTGATTTTTCGAGTGTTACACTGTGTAAATGTAACAGACTTGGGTTTTTAACACCCCACCCCCCCTCCCAAAAAAAAAAATTGCCTAAAAGCCGTTTTCAGCGTAAGGAGATGCCGATGGTAAGAAGGAAAGTTCTCACCTTCCATTCTTGGCTCAATCTGGCTATGGAAGATATATTTTTAGGCTGTTTATTCTTGTTTGTATCTGTTATTCCACTGAGTAAATTGTGAAGCCTGGAACGAGTTCACAAGCCCACAGGAGGATGGGCTGAACAAAATGGTGGAGGGGAAAGAACACAAATTTCGAGGCTTCCCAGAGGCTTTCCCGTACACGTCTTTCTTATACTTTACGGCCACAGCAAAGGAAATGACAATGTGTAATTATATAAATTGCACCCGAGCCTGAATCCAGGTCTGCCCATTTCCACAATGTAACGTTCGAAATTTCACCGTCACGAGTAATCTATTGGACAACCCGCAACTGAAATATTTATTTATTATTTTTATTATATTTTGTGGGGTGGTCCATAGAGGGGGTCCGTAGGAGGAGTCCGTGGACCGGTCCATAGGTAGTCCGCGGACCCGGTCCGTAGTGGGGGTCCGCGGACCAGGGGCCAGTGTTTTCGGGTTACCCATTAAAATAAAACTTTATAATACTTACAACTTTGATTTCTTCAGGCGTCCTTTTCCATAAAAATTTAGCATTACATCTGAAAAACAAGAAGGAAAAATGCGTGAGATATGATATAAGTTAAAATAGAATAATTTATCGTGTACATGTATGTCTGGTGAATTCAAGCAGATTTAAGATAGCTGTCTGGTGAATTCAAGATTTCAGATGAATTAAATGAATTAAATGAGTGAACTATCAACTTACATATCATTTTGAAAGAGATAAACCGCTAACAGCTGTGTATAAACCTCTCCTGAAGCAACACCCTGGGTTAATATAAAAACAAAAAATTCACCAAAATTAAGACAAGCAAGTTTTTGACAGTTCAACATTTGAATTGACTATGCCGGGTAATTTCTGTTCAAGAGCAAAATAGCATAGCATGTGCAACACAGAAAAAGAATCACAAACATTAGTTTCTCGCGTTAAATCTATTTTACTCACATCTAGCTCCATTTGTTCACATTTTGTGCAAAGTTCGTCAAAATTCGTCTTGTCCGCAAAGTCCGCCATCTTTGATTTCCCAAAGCGAAAAGGACTGCGGGCTCTCTTCCGAACATTCTCCGAACACTTCCCGAAGATCACACCCATCAAACCGAAAATTGTCCGAATGCTCTTTCTCCTTTTCCTGTGTAAGAGTGGGAACTGGGAAAAGTTTCAGCATGAGAGGAAGTCACTTCAAAGCTATGAATCGATCGATCCGTCAGTTAGGTAGAATAGCTTCCTTATTTTCTCGTGGATTTCGTTCTATTTGGATTGATATTTCTATTTGATTTGAATTGACTATGCCAGGTAATTTCTGTTCCAGAGCAAAATAGCATAGCATATGTATCACAGAAAAAGAATAACACACATTAGTTTCTCGTGTTAAAACTATTTTACTCACATCTAGTTCCATTTGTTCACATTTTGTGCATAGTTTGTCAAAATTCGTCTTGTCCGCCAAGTCGGCCATCTTTGACTCTCTTCCGAACATTCTCCGAAGGCTACCCGAAGGTTACACCGAAAATTGTCCGAATACTTTTTTTTTCCTCTTCCTGTGTAAGAGTGGGAACTGGGGAAAGCTTCAGCATGAGGGGAAGTCACGCCAAAGCTATGAATAGATCGATCGCTCGGTTAGGTGGCATAGCTTCTGTAATTTCTCGTGGATTTCGCTCTACTGCGTCCGCAGCAATGCCGATCAAGGTAAGATTGACTTGTTTTTCCATTTGTGGCGTGAGAAGTTCGGATGTGTTCCTTTCTTCGTTGCACAACTTGCACGTGAAGAATCGCAGGGAATCGTAAGCCCTTTCTTTCGGAGAATTTTTCACCCTGATGAGTTATTTTCCGAATGTCTTCTCTCTGGTTTTCTTTTTCTTGCACTCGGAGTTCAGACTAGTGACCTCCTTTCATTTCGCATCAAATTCTTTTTTTCTGCAGCTTGTTCAAGTGTGTAGTCTTACTGAGCTTAAGATATCTTCGTAAGTCTACAGTAAACTAAAAATGTGCAAAGGGGAAATATCAAGCTAGGTGATGATATGACTGTGCAGTTTTTTGCAGCTCGATGAGTTACATCTTTGAGGTCTTCGGATCCGTACTTATAGAATACGCGATCATGAGAAAGACACGAGACGAGCTAAAGTCCGAAAATTTGAAGTTTAATTGTGACTGGGTTATCTTTGAGCTAATTTTGGGGGTTTTTCATTTAGGAGCTAGTAAGTTTCAAAGTTAAAAACAGAAGATGTGGTCATCATTAAAATGTATAAACGTGTCATATTGCATGACAGTGATTGGTTAATATTCAGGTGCCTTTCAGGAAAACCCAATATCCCATTTCACACTTCTGTTATGTTCTTGGTGAACATACATCCGTGTTTTCCTAGAAAGCAAGGAATTTCTCAGTTCCTTGTTTATACAGGGGACTCCATGTTATTAACATTTTTTTATGCTGCCATTTATTTGACCCAAGCAATGTCCAACCAAAAAGCTCTTAATGCTTCTTTGGTCACCACTCACATGTAAATTTTACTTCCTCGAGGCTTCGCATTTCTCCATTTTTAACTATTTTCATCAATTTCATCATTAAATGTATCTAATTAAATGTCCCACACAGAGTAAATAAAGAAAGAGTCCGTCAGTCATTCAGTCATCCCTATAGCACCAGCTGGCACAAAGGGCAGCAACGAGGCTCTTCTATTCTAACAATTGTGCTCCATTAAAGAATCAAAATTGAATTGAATTTGAAAAGATCTGGATGTACTTCCTGGCTTTTTGCCTCTATTGGATCATCACATCCTACATTAACAAATGTTCATCTTAACTAATATTAAGGGGGCTGTGGTGTCTTTTGGTACTGATCATTAGTAAACAACCTTCCCCTTTTCCGATGGAGGATAAAAGAAAGACAGAAAAGTGAATCTCTGAGGTTTAAAATTTCCACTGGAGATCGAGAAGGAGGTACATGTATCTCGTGAGTGAGAAGGGCTGGGGGCACAGTGTTGTTTATGTACTTCCTAATGGACATACGAGTTCATACATGTACCTCCCAATAGAGGCTAAGGTAACTGAAGTTTTTGGAAATGTACACTCACAGGCACAATTTTCCAGAGGAGAACAAGGAGACTGAGTCATTATAATAATATGCGCTCCTGCTTTGCAAGGGTGTTCTTTGTCAGGGGGTAGTATAGTGGGAATTCCAAGAAAGGGTGAAGGGCGATCAGTCATAGGCATATTTGCCTCTTCAAGGTATGCTGGCACTTAATTCACAATGAATCCATGTAGGGCTCGATTTTGATTTTTGTTTTTCAATTGGAAAAAGACAGGCTGTCATGTTGATGTACCATGGAATGTAAAAGATGTATTAGTGGTGCAAAATTGAGATGCAAGCATAAATTATACAACATTTGCAAATAAAAAAGTCCGCAAAAACTCAAAGATCTCTGTTGTCTTCTGACCATCACTGTCAGGTCTGACAAGATTCAAAGATTCAAGGTTACCCTGAGATGGCAGTTTTCACTTATGGGCTTCTTTACATGTAGATTAATTGCTGAAGCAGGACCAAAGACTGTCATGTTGATGTACAATGATGTACCATGGAATGTAGAAGATATGTTACTGGGGGTGTCTCAAAAACTAAGACCTAAGACCACCGTTGAATCTCAAAAACTAAGACCTAAGACCCCCGTTGAATCTCAAAAACTAAGACCTAAGACCCCCTCTGAATCTCAAAAACTAAGACCTAGGACCCCCTCTGAATCTCAAAAACTAAGACCTAAGACCCCCTCTGAATCTCAAAAACTAAGACCTAGGACCCCTTCTGAATCTCAAAAACTAAGACCTAAGAACCCTCTCTAAATCTCAAAAGCTAAGACCTAGATTTGCTTTAATTCAGAACTGGGTTTGCTTTAATTCGAGTTTGATGAATTCATTAAACTAAACTAAATCAGCAACGGTGTAATTTTTGCAGCCCAAAATTGTGCGTTTGAAGATTTGGATCCTGTTTGATCGAAGAAATCTTTGATGTTTCCAGTTCGGCCATGCAGCAATGTCACTGTTCAGGACGATGTAGCATTGATCGTAGACAGCAAAACAGTAAACCTATTCAAGACAATTTATTTACATTGACAGCGATGTAGTAAGGCACGTAAAGACTATAAAGATTCGTTACGACAGAAATGTCAGTCTAGATCACATGTAACCGACAGTCACATTTACTTTTTACATTTGATTCTTGCAAAGTTACCCAGTGACACTAGTGCAAGAATATATAAACAAAACTTAAATACAAAAATAAATAGGGAAAGCTCAAATAAAAAGGAATAAAATTCCATTTTCACATGCACAAGTTTTTGTTCGAGCACAGTCATGCTGTTATACTGATGTAAATCAACTGGTGTGAATTTTAACAGCTTTACGCACGTAAATGGCTTTGATCTGTTTTATTTTACCATGTAAATTAAATGTACTTTTTTATCTTAGTGTCCGGCAGCTGGAAACAGCATTCTCCTGCAGTCTAAAATTTTCACAGGTTTTCAACAGACTGTGTTACCAGTCTTACTCAACTAAGTTTGTTTGGACTGAAATGCCAACCGAGTTCAAAAATTCCGTGAGTTTGAGGAGACTAGACAGACTATAAAATCGCCATGTTCTTGACACTTGGTTGTGGTTGTGCAGTGCATGAATCTTCTGAGCTTGGGCACACTAAAAATAATTGTGGTTGCTATGTTTATTTCCATCTGTCAGAGGCATTGACATTTAAGCTGAATAACGTGAAAGTGTAAGCAAGTCCGAAAAGGAAAAATCCCAGATTGTTCAAAGTCTTCAAAGAGGAATCAGATCTTCGAAAACAAATTATTTTGGGCTGCAAAAAGTACACAGTTGTTGATTTCAGTTTCGAATTAAAGCAAACCCAGGTCTTTGGTCTTAGTCTTAGTGTTTTTGAGATGCAGAGGGGGTCTTAGGTCTTAGTTTTTGAGCTTCGGTGGGGGTCTTAGGTCTTAGTTTTTGAGATTCAGAGGGGGTCTTAAGTCTTAGTTTTTGAGATTCAGAGGGGGTCTTAGGTCTTAGTTTTTGAGATTCGGAGGGGGTCTTAGGTCTTAGTTTTTGAAATTCAGTGGGGGTCTTAGGTCTTAGATCTTAGGTCTTGGGTCTTGGGTCTTTGGGTTTTTGAGACACCCGTATTACTGGTGCAAAATTGAGATACAAGTATAACTTATTATTAAAACAACATTTGCAAATAAAAAAGTCCAGGAAAACCCAAAGATCTCTGTTGACTTCTGACCATTACTGTCAGGTCTAGCAAGATTCAAGGATTAAAGATTACCCTGAGATGGCAATTTATTCTTAAGGACTTCTTTACATGTAGATTAATTGCCAAAGCAGGACCAAAGAATTAATTTTAACTTTTTTTTTTCGTACATGCACAATTTTTATTAGGGGCTCATCATCACAGGAGAGACATCTTGCTATGCCTGCAATTAATTTCTCCCAAAAATGATTTTAGGAAAGGTACAAAACTCTTTAATGAGAACATGGAATTTGATTTGAATTTTTATTTAGGTTGGTGACAAGCTTCCATCTATTCAAGTCATGGAGGGAACTCCTGGTGACAAAGTCAATGTTGCTTCACTGTTTGCTGGAAAGAAAGGAGTGCTGTTTGCAGTGCCAGGAGCCTTTACCCCAGGTTGCTCTAAGGTTTGTGTTTTTCATGTTAAACATTAATTTAACCTACTCAGATCAATAGGGTACTTACAGTGGAAATCAAAACTGGTTGAACAGTTTTAAATGTATATCATTCTAGGGGTGCAAGACTTTGTGAGAAGGCAAGACTAGCATTTCTCTTAGTGAGCCCGAGACATTTTTACTTCTTCAATTCAAGATCGAAACTTCTAGAGTGTTTTAAAGGAGAGCTTGAGGTATCCAGATATCATATATAAAAGGAAAACAAATCAGTCCTTTGAGACTTTCTTGGTGTTACAAAAAATTGAGACTGCAAGTCAGCTTTGTGAGAAAATCGAGTCTGCAAGGCGCACATAACCACTAAAAAATGAGACTGCGAGACAGCTTTGAGAAAAAATCAAGACTGCGAGATGCACATAACCACGTAAAAACAAGACTACAAGACCCATGAAATTTAATGAAAATTTTGCAAGACATGGTTTTTGAAGGACTTGATTCACCACCCACCATTCTGTAATCAACATATTTCTGATCGAATTAGTCTTCTGACTGTACAGAAGAAGCTGGTTCAAGTGAAGATATGGTGAACCTCAGGATTTGGAGAAGACTTTGTAACAACAATAAATGTATCTTTGCCACTGTTCACATCTAACAGTACCACATTGTCGTTGAGAGAAGGTTCCTTGCAGTGGCTAAGGAATTAACTGTTAAATCATTTTTCTGTCTTTTTTCCTTTTTTTTTTTAATTTTTTTGTTACAGTATGATGGTTATTCACAGTGCTGATCATGTAACCTTTCTTTTGCTCAAACTTAGACTCATCTTCCAGGATATGTTGAAGATTTTGAGAAATTCAAGGTACATGTATTTGAAGTATATTAATCGGGCTGGTTCGCACGGAAGGCGCATGAGTGGAGCCCCACTGCTTAGAAACTTTGGTAATCCATCAACCTAAAAANATTGAATTATTTGATTGTGTTATATATTTGGTTAAGCAATTGAACTACTTAGTTTTCGATCCAATCAGCGTGAGATACCCTATCTACCGGTCTACGAAACAACTCAGTACAGGAAATGCATGCATCTATACGTCTGTGAGGTGATAGTTGATGAGGCCGCAGGGCGAATCAACTATCACCTCAGAGAAATCGAGAGCGAATAATCTAATTGTTTTAGTAGAATTTTAACTGAAATTTACTTCAAATAACGGTTTCCAATTATTTCTCGACGTATTATTAAACTTCGCGCCTTAGAAATATCGCACGGATTGAATTTTCATTTGAAATTGAAGTTATGTGCATACGCATCATTTTTTCAATAATTTCAAGCTTTCAAAGTCGAGAAACCGTTAATGTCCTTCTTGTAGTCTTCTCAGGGATTCAATTATCCATTTGCATCAAAAGGTTCCTTCAAAACTTTGCAAAGAGGAAAAAACGTCGCCATTTCGTAGACTACCTCCAACCACTGCACACTAATGGCTGATAGTGTACGATCGCTCAGCCAATTAGATTGCAGTTTTTACATTAGTGTACTAATAGAATTCTACTAATGGCTGATGGTGTACGATCACTCAGGCAATCAGATTGCAGCATTTGCTTTAGTTTTCAAGTAGAATTCTACTAATATTTGATACAGGAGTTCAGCGTTAGGAAACAGTCGGGTTTCGGAGCGACAATTTTCAAGTGGGCGCAATACTCCGTCGGAAAAACGATGGCGACTAGTACATTTACCCATTACTCTTAGCGCACGAAACTTTAACGACGCTCATAAAAATGTACAGAAAAGTTGTAACATCTTTAAACCTAACATACGCCATGTCGTTACCACAGGGACAAATATTGCAAAAAATGTGGCTTTTTTTTCCTTGTACTCTATGGGCTGTGTAAGGTTCGCATGGTACTGTGGTAAAATGTACAGCCGCTGTCTTTTTTCCTACGGAGAAATCGACGTACTTTTAAGGATTCCATAACTAGATCCCGAAAGGGAAACTGTGACATTGGTCAGTGGTTTGGATTTTTAGATTTGTTGGTTTTCGCAGGCGAAATCTTTGTACATAGAACGTTCTCTATTTTCTAGGATTTCTTGTTTGTAGTGTAGTCTTGCTTTTAGGATAGTGTAGTTTTTCGCAATTTCGAGACGGGAGAGCACGCAGACTACAGTAACTATAAGATAAACACGCCTTATTCCACTATTACCCTACCTCTTTTTCTAGTATTTCGGCTTCTAGTTTTTACCATCCCAAAACTGCACCGATCGCATAAGGTGCCTGCAAATGACCAAAACAATATACGACGCCACAGTGCGATACGTGCTCATATTTTGCGCGTTCTCTTGATCTAACATGGTAAAACGGCGTGGTAGTGGAATAATCAAGATGGTTGTTCTAAGTGTCTCCTAGCAGGTACACTCATTGCGAATGAAAACAGAGTTGTTTGGTGTCAGTCAGTTGATACATTCATTGACACATTCTTTGGTTTAAATCACGTTTAGCTTACATAGGACTCTAAGAATCCAGAGAAGCTGACCAGCAAGGATTACAGAGGGTTTTAATTTATTGTTATTGTTATATGTTTATAGTCCATTACATTGTGAGGGAACGTGCTAACACGTGTAACGGTTAAGTTATCAGAAATTTTCACGTAAATTATGGTGAAACGTCCCACCAAACAGGGCTCTTTTGTGCACTTAAATTATATTATTTACTAGCACCCTGTATAATTTATAGAAATCGTTTACATGTAATTGTTTTCGTTATTGGTCCCACATCAGGACGCTTGCTCTCTTTTAGAGAATTACTTGGAAAACAAGTCCCGTTTTTTGGTGAAGTTTCTTACGAACCCACAATTGGTATTGAACAATAAGGAAATAGTGTCAGAGCTCGTGTACACATATTTGCTTTCGACCAAATACGGTTCTTTTATTCCCAGTTGCACAGGGCACTGTTTGAGAGTGAAACATCAGTGTGACATAGAATAGTCCAGTCTCGCATACTGGCTAGCTTTGTCTTCTAGATCATGTTAATAAATAACTCACGAGGTAGCTTGTGTTCTTCTGTTATTTGCGCTGTGGTAATCCGCCTGAGTTTTTAGAAGACTTGGAGTGTTGGTTAGTGCATTCTTGAGTAATGTAACGAGACATCTTTGAAATTAGAAACAGTCGAACCTCTCCACAACGGCAACCTTGGCGAAAGGAAAGTGCCCATTTTAGAGTCCGCCGGGACAAAAATAAAGGAGCCGTTGTAGAAAGGTGGCCGTTAGTGGAGGATCGACTGCAGCACACGTGGACGCTAGGAATTGAAACTGTGATGAGATTAGGTTTGTCAAGTTGAAGCGAAGCAGGTCTCGTAACTGTCGTCATAGTGTAGCATATGTTATTCTTTGAAGGGTAGGGCGTTATTGCTACTGTTTGTTGTATTGTTCTCAGCTAACTCGAGACCATGGATTTGATGGTTTTTTAAAAAATTAAGATTTGCATGATGCCACCTTTATCCCGACTGTCCCCAGTCGGCAGAACTAGTTCCCTTAAGGCACTTTGTGCAATTCCTTTTTTGGGGGGAGGGGAGGGAGGAAGAAAGGAGGATCGTGATTCCCCGGTGCTGCGATGTTGTTATTCGATCTTGGCGGGGTGGTGACTTACTTTATTGGAAACTGAAATTCGATCCTTTTATAGTAAAGGAAACATTGAATGGTTGCCTAAAATGGTATCGACCAGGATCTCCTGCCTCGACGATGCACGACACTTTCCTTGTAAAAGCGAACGTTTGTATCTGTTAAAGTTTCGTAGTAGGTTGGTTCTCTGGCCGCTTGTTGGTTCTATCCCTCCATATATTTGAATGATATATTTTATAGTATGTTTCAATAAAATATACCTTACAAATTTTATACTTTTTTGTACAACATTCAAAATCTGCCGGCGACTGTATGAAATGTTATGTACGTTTGATCTGTGATCAGTTATGTACGCATTTGTTTTAGGTTTCTGCTTAACCCTCTGACGTCCAAGTAGCCATATACGGCCACTTAAAGTGCACCTAACCCCCAAATTTTTTTTTTCGCTAAAACAAATCTAGACTTTATTTGAAGCATTTGGGCGAAGAAATTTTTGAATTTGGTTGA